CACACACACACACACACACACACACACACACACTTTCGCACCTACCTGCCCAGGAACCCAACAAACAGAAAAACCCCAGTTTCTTAAGGGTTGTTGCCTGAACACATAGGAAACATCCCATTTTATAGGTTCAGCAGTTGAAGAAATAAGTTGAAAAGAATGAGAGAAAAAAAAGGAGGAGTGTAGTCATTAAAAAAAAAAAAGCAACAGGAGGATCTGGTCTAGACTGACTGAGTCTCACATTTAAAATTAGCAAAGGCTTGTTTTCTCAATCGCCATATTCCCAGCTTTCTGCTTGTGGATTCTGCCTGCCCCATCCCACTTGGAGACTAAATATGGATGTTTTGGATGGGGGATATTTTCCTAACCCAAACCACACGCTGAGAGAATCAACCAAGCCTAAGCAGATGCTGGCTCTCTCCCCTCAAGGAGCGTTGGCCAAGGAAACTGCCCCTTAGAGCTTCTCCGACCTGAGAGCCCTCCTGAAACAGAAACTCAATCTCTCGTCCATGTGGGCTGTGGGTGCCCAGTAGTTCATGGTAATCAGACTCTAAAACTCCCCTGAAGAGAAGATGAGGGGATAAACATCCTAGAAATGTGAGACAACTTGGTATTTGGAGTGGGCTTTGGAGTCAAACGTTCTGTTTAAATCCCATCTCTGCCATTTGGGAGCTTTGTGACAGAATCCAAGCTGTCTAACCTCTTAGTACCTCACTTTCCTCTTCTGCAAAATGGGCATAATTATAGTATCAACCAACCTTACTGGATCGTCAAGGGCACTGATATTCAGTAAACGGGCCCACACCTGGTGCATACACAGTTAAGCGCATAAGAATTGCTAGTCATTATTAGTTTCCTTATCTTTGAGCATAAACGTTTTAAACATTCTTCAAACAGTATAATTCTTCTGATTGCTGTAAAATAACAGACTGCCATTTTAAGAGGGTGTCAACATCCTAGCAACGTTGACATCTCAGCCAGGTCAGCTCACTCTGCCTCAACAGGATTCCAGCCTGTGTGTGCTGTGGCCCTGGCTGGGTGGTGACCCACGTCGGCAGGTGGAGAAGACTGTCTGTCCTGGCCAGAATGTGCTGCCCATTCATTCTGCAAACATTTACTGAGCACCCTTCCCCTCTTGCCCCTGCCACAAATCATGTAAATCCGCCTCCTTCTCTTCAAGGAGAAGCACACAGATGGTCCTAGATTCTGGCCTAATGTGGTCCTCACAGTCACCCCACCCCACATTCTTTTGTTTATTCTAAAAGAGGAAATCCCTAAAGTCACAGAATGGCAAAAGATGGAACCAGAATGTAGCCCCACTGTTTTGGGTCCCTCTGGATGCCCTCACCCTTGGGCTTATACTTCCTTGGGGCACTTGATCCCATTGCCCCACCCTACCCTAAT